TTTCTAGTTTGAAGAAAAATTTTGAAATTCATTAAAGGTACATTGTTGGAAATTTTCAATGAAATATTGTTCATATGCAGAAATATAGATATGAAGTTCACTTTTTTTATTTGATAGAAAGACAGATAGACGCATATTTTCATATTTTCCTTCAATCCTTTTTTATTTAAAAATGACGACATCATTCATGTTCATTTCGCACTCACAAAACGCGTCCCGCCCAACCATGGAAAAAAGGCAAAAAAATCTGTCCGTAGGTTTTGAATAATAATAATAATATGATGATGATGAGCTAATCGAAATGAGTGATGAACGAAGTAGCAACAAAATAAGTCTCAAGGTCAAAATAAATATTAATGGTGTCGGCTGAGAAATTTCGACAATCTTTGATAATTTGCATTTTCATTGATGTTGGTGGCGATGAAATGAGGGAATGGTGGTGGTTGGGGGAGGGCATGAAAATGCTTGCTTAATTGATGACTTTTCTTCGCGCTCGCGGCTGTGTGCACACATCACATTTGGCCGAAAAAAATTGTGAGCAAAATTAACCATTGGTCGGGATAGAGAAAACTTGGGATTTTCACCTGCTCAGTTTGAAAAAAAACTTTTGGAATTCACTCAAAAATTCAGGATTCCATTATTAGAAGGGGTGGTGGAGAGAGAGGGGGTGGAGGTGGCGCGAACATTCGAAAACACTCCCAATTTCCGGCCCAAGGCCTTTTTGCCTTTTTGCTTCTTGGCCTCAAGCCATATGAATTTTTTCCCTCCTATGCCGCCATCTTCCTTCATTTAACGTTACGAACGACCAATAATAATGTTGATGAAAAATCTTAATGATCCGTTGGAAATTCAAGCCGGCGTAGACAAACTGGAACGCCTATATTATGAAGCTGCGCATAGAAATTGAATTAGATTTTAGCAAGGGTTAATCTAAATTCGACAAAAAAACCGAAAACAATTGTTGTGACGTCAGTTGCGACAAACATCAGTAAACAGTTTTGTCATTTTCAAACATCATACCGGAATATGGAAACATTAATTCTACGATTAACCAAATTTAGAGGAACGCTTTTGAATATATTAAAACATACTAATTTCGGAATTATATCAAACCAGCGCAATGTCTCTTTTTTTTAATTTCAGAAAAAGATATTCGAGTTAGGACCAAAAAAATTATGTAACGTAGGTTGTAATTGAGGCCAATGAACATTATTTATATGTTTGATAACAAATAAAGAGAACGATGAGAAAAGATGCATGAATTCAGGAAGTATTAAAACCGTTCTGATGTTGACTGATTCAATTAATTTTCATGATATAAGAATAGGCAAGTCAATTTGTTTCTCTTTTTTTCCACTCATCTCCCGAGTTGCGCAAAAAAAAATAATTGACTCAATTTTGCGCCGCTTATATCTGAGTCGCAACATAACAAGGATTGACTTAGACAATTAATTGAGCGGCAAAGAAGCAATGTTTCAGTTGTGAAAACCTGTGTATGGCGTGAGGAAGGGACCACCCCTGCCGCCAGAAGCAGCAGCAGCAGCAGTGGTGGTGGCGGCGGAAGGAAAACGAAAACGAAACGAGCATTGAAAATGGGCATCACGGCGGCAAAAATGGACCAGGAAAAGTTATTAGTAGCGACGCCTACATGAGTGCTAGCCAGAAATGTTTCTCATTGTATATGCAGAGAGATCAACAAGGGAAAAGGAAAAAGCACGGAAGAGAAAAAGCGGTTTAATTTATACCGCTATTTGTTCGTGTCACTTTTATCATATTGAAAATTTGTTCAATTTAAATTCATATTTGGTCAGCCTCAATGATTGTGCGAACCGCACCCCCCCCCCATTTCTGTTCAATTCCTCTCAGTTCGCCTTTTTATTCGCCAGCAGCCCTATTCCCTGTTGTAGCAGGCAGCTCAATGAGAAATTTTAATTGAATTAGAGGTGCCAAACAAAATCGAATGCGTAAAAGGTGATGTCACTTTGGCTGTGTGGTTTCGCGCCCAATTCGGTGCCTTTTTGCCAATCATGGACCTCTAAAAATGGCTTCTCACATTAATTCCTTAAACATACATGTGTGCACGACATCGCCAAACTATGCGCGTATGTTTTTGTTGCGACGGCGGCAGAAGAGGGGGAAGATGTGTAGAATAGAAAAAAGAATATCTAATTCAATCTTAATGGAATGTTTGTTCAGAAGACTATAAAACTAATAAACGAACTCAATATGCCGATATTCAGACCTCGGCGAAATGAATATCATCTTTCAATATTCATTTGGTTTTTTTTTAACATGTTACGGAAACAATCATTTTTTGGAAAATCTTGCCCAAAATAACGACAAAAAAAAAAAGATTTTTGGGCGTCGAAGGCAGACCGTATTGTATAAATGCATCTTTTGTTTCATGACGTGTTTCCCTGAGATTCTTGGCATTGTATTCCACCAGCGAGAAATATCGATTATTTTGGTTGTTTATTGGATTGCAAAAAAATCGTAGAAAAATGCATTATAGAAATAATTTAAGGAATAGTAATTCTCAAGACATATCGTGAAAAATGAAGACAACAGATATTGAGCTTCTATTAAATTTTAGATTCTAAAAATATCAACAAACTATGTATGTGCTTGTAAGTAAAACTAATTCTAAGGTGCATGGTACAGTGTAGTCATTTCGAGAAAAACGATATCTGAAATTTTTACAGCTGCTCGTTGAAGTCAGTAGCTACCATTTTGGCTTTTATGGGTCTAGACATCATTACCTACAGTAAGCAAAACATCGTGTGAAACTGCTCATTAAATTTCTCATGCCTTCTTTTTTTATTACCAAATGATTTCATTGGACATAATTGGTTTTAAGAATTATGAAAACGTCAAGTTTATTTTGATCGTGCGATCTAACAATAGGTATTCATTTTGGAAATATTGATGTCATCGATAAAAAATTGCTCGACAATTATAATTGCTGATTAATAAATTGCAATTTGAAATATTTCTCTTAAAAAATCTGATTTCGGTCTTTCTACGGAATAGATTTGAAATGAAAAAAAAAATGTTTAAGCTTGAAAAATTCTGCGAATCATACCTTTCAAAAGCGTTTTTAAATAATATTACAACAAACACTTTTCATATGATAATATTCACGGAAAACTCTAGTGAATGTAATAGAAGAATTGAGGGTGGATTACGTGTTGAAAAAAATATGGCAAACAATGTAACTTGAGTAGTTGCTGAACAATATCGTATTAAGAAATATGAACTTTTCATTCTAATTAAATGGGCAATGTTGGATATGGGAATGAATTGGAGAAGGCGTCAAATTCGAGTCACTGCCAATGTATTTGCCAGAATGATGTGTCTTGAGCAACATCTGACAACAACAACTTGTTGCCCATTATTTAAAGGGTTGCTTTTGAACGTGACAATTAACCCACGAGTTTTTGAAACCTATAATAAATCTAATCAAATATTGATTTATTAAGAACACTCGTCGTTTAATATTAGGTGTGAAAAGTTCATTACGTCGATATCCCTACATAAATTTGCGGTTATCACTCCCACGGATTTATTGGAATTGTTTGAACCATGTGAACTAAAAAATTTGGCATATGCCAATATTTATATATTGTTAAAGTCGTAAAATGAAAATCTTTGTCCGAAAAATGTCCAAATCTCGTTTTACATCCAAAGTCTCAAAATTTACAGAAATAACTCTGAAAATTTTAAAACAATTATTTTGAACTCATTCGATATATTTTTTCTTCTCATCAAAGTAACAAGACAGGATAGCATTTGAAATATTGAGAATATTATCAAATAAATGTAAAATTCCAATATGTTTGATAGACAAAAATAACTCTTTATTCTTGTAATGCATTTTTGTCATGATGTAAAGCGATGTGTAATTAATTAATATCATATAATTTAATAAGATCATTCAAACCACGATGCTTCATCCATATCACCTAGGATTTTTCAAAATCAAATTTTGATAGAATCGATTCTCAATCATAAATCTACCTTAACCAATTCAAAAAAGAACGAAATAGTCTTTTATATGTTCAACACTAATGAACTCATGGAAAAGTTTGTGATAGATTCAATCACTTAGTAAATTAAGCAATTAGATTTTATTGATTTCTTATTTCCTATCAATGTTGCTACCATTTGAAGAAAAAAAAACTAGTCTAAATACCGTGAAATAACAAAAATAATTGCTACCGGTAGAGTAGTCGTATAAGTGAATTTTTGAGCTAAAGAGTTTATCTCCCACATTTCTTCGTCTCTCCAGAAATATGCATATTTTTTTAATACTAAACATCAGGCCAACGTTCTCTTCTAGATACAATATGGATAAGAATTTGTTGGTCCCATCAGTATTTTTTTTTTTTCATTTAATTCTGATTAAAACATCCCCTAACACAACTAAAAGGTGGAATAGGAAATATAGTAGAATGATTTCAATTTGTGTCTTATATGGAGTTAGTTTAAAGTTTAACACTCAATTTTTATATTATATTCACGTTTGCCTCGTGCTTATTTCATCTATATTTTCTCCATATTGTCTCCACGGTTAAATATTGGTAAATCCGTTCCACCATCCTTCCATAATTAACATTCTCTTACCATTAACCTATAAAGTAAATTATTGCTGTCAAAATTTTTTGACAAGGCGCGATCTCCAAAATCGTTGGTTTCCGGGCCACTCTCTGAATATTTGCTTTTCTATTTAAACATCTCTTATTTTTGTTTATACGAATTGATAATAAATATGTCAATAGAGTTTATTAGTAGCAATAGCAATTAAATATATCGAGAAAATTCTGCACTTATAGTACATCTAAATTTCAATATTTGCATATTTCAGTTCAACTGCAGCTAGGACCAAATTTACACGTAGCCAAAGCATTACTACAGTTAAGGGGATTAGGGGGGGGGAGAGGAAATGAACAGCACAATAGAACATTGGACAGGATCGCAAATTGATTCAGAGTATGACGAAATCACAAAATGATGTTTGATACTGCATTAAAAGTTATCAAAGCATTGACAAATTGATATCGTGGCAGCCACTCGTAAGCATTGATTGATGAAGTAATTGCCAGAATGCAATATGGAGCCCAGAAGATCAAATTGAGTGAAAGCATTATGAATGCCTAAATTGAATTAAAATAAATGATAATTCTGGCTAAAATAAATGATAATTCTGGCTAAAACTTTTTATAAATAACGCTTTCTTTTCTAACTTTTCCATTTTTTTTATATTCTGAAAAGATGTACCTTCGATCTCGCATTGCGTCTTGCCGTATCAACCGTGTTAACCCACATGCTAGTCGAGCGGTTAGTAGCAGGAGTACTTTGACGGCGTGCTATAAGAAACTATTGCGTTTCAAAATACTAGAATTAAAGCAAATACTGTTGTTCCCAGTGGTACTGGCCGATTCGCTATTTTGCGAAAATCGTTGATAAATCTTCTTAAAGATACCACATGAGCCTAACGCGAACAAGAATCGTCGAAAGAAGCCGTGAGGTGGCTCAGTGGTTTCTCCACCCACATAAATAGAAGAAGCTAAACTCGAAATTGAGCTTAATCGCGTTTTGAAAATGTTTTACCGGGATGTCCATGGGAATCCAGAGCAACAGTGATACTGGCAGAATTCGGTGCGGCATGAGCGGCATCCACTGAAGTGGCTCTTCGTCGTTCCATATCACAACTTCTGCTGTCCGGCGAGATGAACTGAATCGTCTGTCGCATTACCAATGCATCTGATTCATGCCCATTATTCGATACTACTGGCGACGTCGTTTTTTGCTTTCTAATACCACAACAGAATCTGAACCAGGATAATTTCATGGAAATTTGCAAAAAAACTGACATGTTGTAAAATATATCCGAAAGGGTTACAAAATTTCCTTTGCTAGCTCCTTTCAATATATAGAGAATGAGAATATAGCAAATGAATTCCATGGTCAACGGTAAGACACAAATAGTAGCAAGATGGATAACATTATAAATCTGCAATGAATCCGATTTATTCTAATGTTTCATTACCCCAACATACTCTTTCAAGCATCAACCATCTTTGATTACTAACGTAAAGATCCTCTACAGTAATTTTTGGAGCAGGGGGTGGGTCCAACTGAAACAATATTTAAATTCTGTTAAATTTGAATGAGTAACCTTCATAGTCCCGTTTTGAAAGAAATACTCCTCCGACTTGGAGCGAATGAGCTGCATGTGAACCTCATAAGCCTCAATCACATATAATTGTAAGTAGTATTCTCCTCGTTTTTGAGTCCTGTTATTACATATAACTTTTATGACATTCTGAAATCGGCATAACTCACCAGATCGAGATGCATTGCGGTTGTCCGTCTTCTGTGAGAGCTTGCTGAAATATGACAAGCTGGGGGAATGCGCAAATAAGGGCCAGAATCCAAGCGACGACAAGCGAAAGACGCGTGTTGTATTTTCGACGCATATTCTAAATTCACCTCATTTGTGGCATCAATCTGAATAGCCGTGTTTTTTACGTTGCGATTAAGGCGATTCATTTTCGCAGAGATGAGTAATCGATCGGCAGCAACCAGTACTTGCATGTTGGCAGTCAAATGAAATCCAAATGTAGATATGAACTTGAAAATCCGGCATCCGATGTCCCCACCGAACCACTATATTATCTGATTACCAAAGAAAGCTTAAGCCATTTACCCAATAAGAGGTTATCCAGGCGAATTGGGTTGGAGCATAGATGAATAAGACAATGGTGTCCGCAGCAGTCAAGCTAACCTTATATGAGAAGAGTCTCGCAGCCAAAACCAGTTGTTGGCGCGATGTTCTACAAATACGTGATTTTCTTTTTGTACAGACTATTCCGATCATATTCTAGTTATTGTTTTGAACAGGTAATCGCGAAAAATGGGTTACACAAGGGTTATATTGTTACAACCACTGTTCTTAATTACACTCACTTGAGCAGGAATTGAATTTCTAGAAACTTTCTAATTGTTTCCGCAAAGGGAGAAATTTAGGTCATTCCGGCCCTCAAATTGCAATTAGGAAAACATTTTTCAACAGTTTGAACTCCTTTTGATTCTAACGGCACATTGTTCCTCAGACCACATCGGAAAAACGAATAGGATAAATGTCGTTGGCAAATGCTTATTTAATGGAACTAGGCCACCTGGTGTAACCTTTTTGAAAAAAATAATGAAGTTTGATGGAGAACAATAGAAAATTCTAATGATCCAGTGACTTCAAAGAACTGCCCATTCAAATCCTTATATATATAATTATTTTCAACAAATTCCTTTATTCGTTTGGTTCAATTTTCTAATCCCGTATTGAGCCAGTAATAATAGATTTTCGGTAAATATAATTTTGTTTACAAGCTGCACAGAAATATTTCAGCTGTTGCTCATTCTTTACCTTGACATTTTAACGCAAGTGTAAACGAATGCTGGAAGTCCAACGATGACAGCAATCATGTAAACCCATAATTCAATCTGAAAGATTGTTGATCATATCGATAATACTTATTTGGAACTCACGCGATAGCTAAAGTTTAATGATTCTTGTGTGAACATTTCTTTAACGTCAGGAAACTCAAATCCGCATAACAAGACAAAATCGAGCTGAAATGAGGGATGTAATCCAAGTGCGAATGCAAAAATGATGAGAGAATCGCGAATATTATTTTTTATCCGTGCTTCACTGATCAGAATTTAAGCAAAAAATGTTCATTCAACCCTTTTTATTTCATAGAACAGTGATGAAAATGTTAAAAAAAAACAAAAAAGGATGACCTGAATAATTGCGAATCGCTTAAAAATGAAAAGATGAATAAGAAAAATTTGCCAAAACTCGTCCACAATTTTTGTCTCCTAACAATCAATTTCAATGGCAACAGAAATGCTTCTCCGCCATTTTTTTTAACGAGGCTCATTTAGCAAGAATCAAAAAGAATTTGGCGCAGTCTCCGCGCCGTTTGACGGGACAATTATTCAAGCTTGTTCCGGAATATCATGGGTAATTCTAAAGCAGGGACACAGAAATCGAAACTTATAGCGGCGCCTAATTAATGTGGGTGCAAAAAAATTATTAGCTGCAGCTCAGACACACACGAAAACACGAAGTTCACACATCTATTCAAAACCTCACGTTCTCTCAGCTGTGACCTCAGATTTCTATCCTATAGAGTGGGAGTTGGTGGCTACTGTAATTCAAAATTTAAAAAAAAAAACAATAAGACACGCCCACAAAATTCACCTGCATTTAAATGTTTGTTCGTTGAACGAAATGCTTACGAAACAATATACATTAAAAAAAATAACATATGCATATAGTGCAGAATTTATTGAGGCCCCAAAAACCCAGGAAACCGAATAGAAATGACTAGCGGCGTAGACGTATTATCCAATAAGGATTGTAGAGCTTCATACGCTCTAATTATGCGCTAGTAACTTTTAATTTTTTGTAATATTAACCCAACTTACATTATAAGAACGAGCAGGTAAATAAGAGCGAAGTTGTTCTATATATTTTTTAAGAAACGGCGAGCACATGAGCCGAGTGCGACCAGTTTTTGTTTAATAGTTCGTGATCGAAGGTTCAAGGTTGTTATGATTCTCTCTCAACGGCGAAAGTGCAGTAATACTAGTGAATCAGAGAAGCTCGGGGGAGAATATATAAACCACTTATTTAATTTGGTTGAAATTGTAAGTTAAGAAATTAATTGAGATAAATTGCAGAAGCTTACACAGTTGAATTTTAAATTTAATATTATCATGTTTTATTCACCGAAACAGGTGCAATCTGTTGGAGGGGGTTGATTGTAATTAGCAAGTGTGAAGACCTTAGTCATATTTATACCAAAAAAGAAACCATTAAAGCCTGGGGAGTTGCGTGATCCATCCAAATGCTTTACAAAATTTCGAACTCCGTCGCTTGCCTTTACATTCCAAACTCCCATTCTGGATCAATTCGCGTGCTTCAAAACTCTTAAAAGGGTCATAAAAGCGCCATATGCACATAACACCTTGCGTGGCAATTTTTCCAATTACAATATGACAATTAAATCTACCGTAATCCTTTATAGCTTGCGTGATATTTCTGCGTTTCTCAAAAACTGATGCGATCATTCTTGATCTCAAGAAAAGAGAATTTCGAAAATATAATCTTTATGACACTTTTTTTTCTGGTTTAATGTTCACCCATTGAGTCAAGATAATGTTAGTGAACGATGAGGAAAATGCGAATGAGATGATTGAGAATTTTGAAAGTTGATTTATTGAATGGATAAACGCTGGGGCATGGAGAAGCTTTTAACGATTTCTACAGATGAAAGGGGGAACGTGAGAAAATGCTGTTTGGTTCGAAATAATTTTGTTACTAATTGCAATATTCATTTTTCACGTTCCTATTACCACTTAATTGAAATTTTTGTGACCAACCTTGAACTTGAGAGATTAAAAATATGCAAAAACCCAAATTATAAAGGTCATGTTTTCACATGGAACAATAAATTTTTTAACTCCTATCCAACACAACAATGAATCGCATTTCTTTCTGTAAGTATGTTATGATAATGAATGCCAAATAATGAGAGTGTGACCTCAAAAATGTTTGAAAAGATGCCGGGGGGACTGAATCAGTAATTAATATAATGTCGATGGACGTGCAGTCAACAATTGCAGATATAGAAAGGAATTTGATGAGAGTTGAAAAATTAATACACCCCATCTTTTTTTTCAAATCGGCACTCATCTACGCGGCGGTGGAAACAATTCATGGGTCTTGGAGCATCGAGTATATTAATCAAACCGGCTTTATCATGAGTATTTAGTACAAGGAGAGGCATTGAACAATTTTGATGAAAACCCTATTTTCCAGTTTCAGATTGTCTAAAACTGCAGATAATAGTGATTTTTTGAATTATCCTTAGAATATTAAATCCAGAAGAACTTGTAGAATTAATGTTTATTACAAAAAAGAAAAAAATTTGTAAAGAACATTTCTTAAATGAAAATACATTATGATTCGAAGAGGAAATCCAATAATGGATGGCTGCGTTAGTTTTATGGCCATTTTTAGGAGAGTAAAATCGTTTTTCAATGCTAACAATCATTTATTCTCTGAGAAGAGGAAAAACTATTTGCAAATTAGAACGCATTAAAAAATCAAGCGCTATTTCGTATTTGGAATGCAATGATTCTTTATCTGTACTCGAGCATCAATAATTTGTCGAATCGACGATTTCATGTCTACGACATCTCCGCAGCTTCACATAAATTGGCCAAATTTCACGTCGAATTGCTTGCATCGCCTATTCTTGGTTTGAGCTTGCACTAAATACGTCCAATAAAAATTGGCTCCCGATAAATGGCATGCTTATACAAATAAGCAGAATTAGAATTTTTGATAATATGTGTCAATCCTACTGTAATAATTCAAGTGATATTGCAACAAGTGTTTTTTCTCACAATATGACATCAAAATTCAATGTTTCGTGTGCCCAATTCTCAATTACTCATATATATGATCTTGAATTAATGGCTGTTAGTTTTGCAACCTTTTTCTGCCAAAAGCCAACAAGAATAGCCAAAATTGCCAACGATATCGGTTGCAAAAAATTAATCATAGTCGGATTTAACATTATTCAAACTAAATATTCGGAACGTGTTAATTACAGAAAAATGAAAATAGACAATTCAAATCCTGAAAATGTTCAAATTGTAAGGAAAAATATATATATAGCTACTGAAAAAAAATGAAAGCTCAAATAAATAAAATTAGCGTTGATCTACAGATAGCACTATAAAAACACTCTTTTGTTTAAAAATTCGCGATTTGCCAAAAATTCGTGAAAATTAGAAGAGAAAGTGTTCAGGGAGTTTCTGGTTGATAAATAAGGAAGGAAATATGAAGAGGTGCAACTCCCTTGAGGTGACGTTTTGATGATCAATTATAAACCTGAAGTGCAGACACCCTCGGGAGTTTGAGATATCGCGGTTTGCTCAAGACCAAATGGAACTGATTACTAATTTTGAATAAAGTTTAGAATATGAGAAGAAAGGTGTGTTGCAAACATTTTTCTGAAAAGAAAAATGGTTCCTTGTTTTTGGCAAATCGCAACTTTTGAACGAAAAATAACCATTTATTTTTTTGCACCTAAACCCTCATTTTTCTCGTTTTATTCGCGAATAATAAATCACGGTTAAAAGCCTACACGAATGCAACAAAACAAACGAAGAGGTTCATAGTTCCCATGGGAATTCCACAAAAAATATAGCAACAATTTTGTCTGAAATATGATTTTATTCATCTAAAAACTGTTATTTTTGATTATTGAAATCATATAAATTCAATAAATCAAAAGAAACATTCTAACATATTGCATTTTTGAAAAGCCGTGCATTTCGAGCAAACTGTATGTACCTCAGCGTCGTTGATCACCATATTTGGCAAACTCAAAATATGCTTAATATATCGCATTCCCCTCTTGCTTCCTATACTCTCGTGAGCGACTTCTAAAATGGTTTTTTGTGAGTTATTCATTAAATGTTTCAATTGGTTTCTTGAATTTTATTTCTCAATTTATGGTAGGTGTTTCTTCCTGAAATTGTACTTCTCAATTAGTTTAAGACATTTCAATTTATAGCATTGTCATAAACCTTTCAATGAATTTGAAAATTTATTGGTTGGTAATTCATCTGATGTAATGCTCATTATGAAAAAGAGCAGTTATTTCGGAAATGGTACATATCATTAAAAAAAAACTTTTCGATTTTTAAGGTCCACTAATCTATTCATTTCTCAAAAAGAAATGGATCAAAACCTGAACCCATCATGATCCATCCACATAAGTCCGCATGTCTCGAAATTCGACACATTTTCTGACATGTTCATTAGTATCAAAAATGTGAAACAGCAACAAAACATAAAATGAATATGTATTTTAAAAAAATGTACAGGAATTGATTTCAGGGGTAGAGCATTAAAAGAAAATTTGTGGAGCAACTTTCAGCGTAGAAGAATGAGAATGTGTAACAAAAGGGACTTTGATAAATTATTCCGTGTACTAAATAATACGATTTCCTGTTTTTTTTCTAAGATTTACTAAAAAGAAATTAGCATTTTTCTCATGTTTTTAGTTCCATAGGTCTAACGAAACTATATAAAAGTACAAAAAATTATTTTGGATGCTCGAAAAAAAACTAACAAGAAAAATTATTGATATTGTTTTAGTTTGTTTGCAAATTTGCCGACGCTACCGTTTAGTTGGGATATTTTGTCATTTGAACCTCAAATGCTAATAAAACACGATCAAGATGAAAAATGTGAAAAATAATGCAACAAATATCACAAGTTCATGGAAAATTTTGAGATTGGGTGCTTACTTCAAAAAATAGCTCATTGAAATAGTAAAAACAGAGTTTGAAACAAGAACTTTTCGGGTTAACTATTTTCTCTTCTTTTTGTCTACCAAAAAAGGAAATGAAGTTGAAGAGAAATTAGCAAGTGGAACACATTTTTGAAAAACATTTTGTTCAAAGTTCGACCTTCATTTTTTAAATTTGAGAAGCTG